AGCCAAAGTAGGATGACAGTACATGAACTACGAAGGCACGGATGAGTTGGCAGACCACCAGCATGATTCTGAGGATTACACCGTAGAGCGCGAGGGGGTTGAAGCAGAGAGAAGGCGCGGTCTGTAAAGACTTGCATGTGTCTGTGTCGATTCATCACAGCTGTCTAGTACACATCATGCGCATTATTATACATTCGTATTCCAGGATAATTTGAGAAAATGCCTGTGTCGATTCTTTGAATAATTTTTTATCTTCCTATTCCTATCCTTTAAAAAAAAGCCCCTAGTTTGAATGATGCATTTAATTGCGCCATTTACACAGAACAACAGCCCATCACACAAACAAACTGCGCTCCATACCATCAGTCTTTATTTTCCGGTCTTTAAAGAGAGTTTTCAAATCCGCATTTTCGCTTATATAACAAACAAATCCATCGGTGCTTAAAGCAGCTGTAGAAGGAACTACTCAACCGGTAAAACTCTGGCACAATGCCATACAATGCAGGCTTCATTGACGTCAGTTTAGAGAGCTGTCATGAAAAATTTGCGAGATTATCATCTTTGTCGTCATTCCAACATGATATGACATCCTACACGACAGCAGTCAGGTAATTTGTGGTGGAAGCTTAAGCCGTCGCAAATATTTGCCAAAAGATTCTGACAAAGCGAGGAAGAAAGTTGAAGTCTCTGACGCCTTCAGGTATCACTACCAAATGTATCGAGGGGATTGCGCTACTTGAGAAAACTTTACTTATATCGATAAGGGTGGTCCCATGTTAATGTTTTTTCTGTAAGAATGCAGAAAATAAAAATTCATTCAACTTGTCTAATTACGATTAGTGCAGCTGCGTTTGTGCGTTGAAGACAATCCAAATCGCACAACAATTTTCGTCAAGTGAAAGCGGAATGAAGTCGATGCATTTTTAGTGTGAAACTTCTTCATTATTACATATTGGCAGAAAAAAAAGATTGTGTGCATATTTGTAACGCTGAAATGGGCTTAAAATGCCAAAATACTAAAGAATGTGTGTCGCTCTTAAAAGTTGGTTTGAATTTCATGTGCTTTCAATCAAAGAACCAGGTGAATCTTCAAGCTGGATCTGAAAGAGAGATGCTGGTAAGTGGAAAAAATATGTTGTCACACCGGCTTCATGAATTCCAGGCAATGTCATTTGGACTTTGTAACGCAGTGGCCACCTTTCAAGACCTTTTCTGCCCAACCAATGAAATCATTTAAAACAACGTTTTCCCTGATTGACAAAGGGTTAACTTTATAATTCACTCTTCACTTTATTCGCTTCCATGACTGGTTGACTAGCAGCTATTCTCGACTTTTGCCTGACTTCGTAGAGCAAGGGGCGTCAATTTGCTCTTTTGTTGAAATCTTCCTTTTACCAGATGTATTGAGGTATTTTGAAAATCTTTTAGTCAGTATTCACTTACTAAGGTCTCGTGTGCTCTCTCTATTGCTGTCAAGAATGAATGACGTCGGCTTTCAAGGTCTCGTTCTAGGTGCAGAGTTTGTCAGGTGGATAGTGGTTAGGGGCTGTTATTCAGGCAAACATCGAAGCCTCTGCGACTTCTTAGGTGTCTATACTGTTTGGGGTTAGCATAGTTTCAGCACCAAAGCGTCTATCAAATGGTATGCAATGTATCAGATGTCCTAGTTTAAACAGTCCAGCTTGAACTATCACTTGGCAAGCTAAAGGGGTATAATTTTAGTTGTAAAACCCAAAGATCACTACATTGACATAGATTTTTAGGATCAGACGGAATTGAATGAGAGTGATTTAGATGGAATTCGCATTGCTTCCAGTGCTCCTGCCGTATTTTTACGAGCATCAGAAGATCCCATCTGATTTGTATGCTGGATAAACAGCCCTCTCTTGCATCACATATCTCGCCACTTCGTTGTTTTATTCCTAACGTAAGTCGACCTCCAACGAAATACTTTACCAGATAGAAATAGGTGAATACATCAGTATGGAGTTTATTTATGTAGATTTAGCACCGATGCAGCAACCCAAATGAACTAGCTCCATTCATAAAGCGGATCCCTGCATTGATTATAAGGCTACCAGTTTTCTTTGATTAAAGGAAAATTAAAAGATAAGGCGAAATTCACACGGTGATATTGTTGCTACTTTAGATTAATCTATGTTAAATGAGCAAAAAACTTTGGTTCCAGCCTCTCAAACAGGAACCATTTCCGATCAGGTCTCTCCTAAAGAAATAAAAGCATAAAAGCTTCTTCACTGAACATTAACGAACAAATGCCACAATCGACAGGTAGCAGATATCTATGACATCACTGTGGACAACTGCTCTGCACAACAATGAAAATGTCCAGTCAATGAAGGAATCCGCTAATCCATCAGCTTTGGTGGTACCTGCATTAGTGATGCATGTTTGACACCGATTTGAGAGGCTATCTAAACCCGATCGGAATAGCTCTCGGAAGGACTTCTAACAACTCGTGGAGCTTACCATCCCAGCTGGGCGGACTCAGCATTAACTCCGCTACCGAAATGGAACTCGGTCTTGAATATCCGTGCGTCATGAATTCCGTAGAATTTTCACCTAGAGGAGGAGGTCGTTTGATGTCCTACTTATTCCAAACAAAAGAAAGACTAATGTCATAAATCACTAGTAGGAGATGCCTCCTTGTAAGGTAATTATTTTATATGCGTTAATTGAAATTGCGCCATACTTCTAAGATCACGTTTGTATATTGGCGATAATTCGATCTTGACTGTTAGTTTATTCCTGCAGTCATTCGTGCTCCATCATACGTGGCCAACCATGTTCTGCTCCAACTCGAGCAAAAGATATCGGCCACTGAACAAACGTCCGAACAGCGTGTGCAGTCCAGCGCTTTGTCTGCACAATTGATCCACCTGACTGTATGGGATTAAACGGCGGGCAATGAATTGTGATGACCAACTCACGCGGATCTTCCAATCATTCCTTATATCTTGTAGTGCAAGTAAGAGTTTATTTACGCGAGTAGGTGGGGGCTTATGCCGCCTTGATAATAGTGGAAATCGTCAGCATCCATAAATGAATAAATGAGTGAGTGGATAAGTAAATAAGATATAAATTAATGATTAAGTTGCTATTAAATTACCAGATCTCTGGCTGATATCGGCTTAGATGTATGGACTTTGGTGAGGTGGTTCTATGCATCTTTACTCAAAAGGGGAACTAGGAGTCAACTGGCAAAACAATGAAGAAGACGCACAAATTGCATTGTCTAATATTATACAGGAAAGGCTTTGTTGATTATGCTTTTCGGTAAGACCAAATTTAGAGTTTGCAAATATTATCAAGGAAACAAAGACGAACTGAACATAGCAAATTAATCTGGATATCGTGGTTTGGTTCAACTGCTGCGTTGAAGAGTTAAGCTGGTGCATAAGCATCACCAACATATCTGCTGCCACATGCCACATCACTCCCATTTCGTCATGCTGCGCGTGTTTCCCTTAGCAAAGTTTGGCCAAAAAGGTGGCACTTGATTGGTCCGTTCGACAGTTAAAAATAGCACGAAGGCGATTTTACTCACGCGGATTTGTTGGAAAAATGTCGATGCTTCATTGAGAGAATGAATAAAGGAACGGCAAAACGCGCAAGAGTTGGTATATTCTGGATGCAAGAAATCGCACGAAATGCTTTGATGTTACTTCTCTTCCATGTAGCGCATCATCACAGCCGCTTCTGGTGCTAAATTAGCATGTTACGGCAGTCACTCTCTTGCAATTGAATGATGTGATTGATACAACAGCTAAGAGGTGCCCGTTCTCTTCTATCTCTTTTAGGAAATTGCAAGCCAACTCAGCAAATTTTGCTCTCAATAGGCTTTTAAATGCTTTACAATACACCGGTTACTTGTATCAAAATAATGTGGGTGCTACCGCTGTTCTAAATGGCACATCAACCGGACCGCAAAATGACGCTGATCAGATTTACGCATCTGGATACAAATTGTTATTCAACTGCATTGCTGATGGAGGTGATGGGTCATGGCAACGGATATATTCACACCTTTAGTACTACTAATATATTTGACGCAGGATTTCGTGTCATTCCGACCACGTGATGCAAATCACAGTGCATTTCATCATGCAAACTTTGATCGAATGTACGAAATACCTGCCAACCTGTGCAGTGAGGTCGAGTTTGGGGTGACTGGAAGCCATGACGTGCATTCCTAAAATGGCACAAGGCAGTAGTAATATTCAGAAAATTCATGGTAACACTTTCTATTCCTACAGTTCTAGTTAGTACAGCTAATGCACATGGTCCCAGTGTTGTTGACAAGACTGGTCCACTCGCGCATGAGTTGCAGATCCCTCTTGGACACCACACCTTCGGCGTAATTGAGGGTCGTGACTATTGTTTTGCCTTCCACTGCAAAACCTCCTTTGGGCAACGTGGATGCCAGAGTTAAGGAGAAGGGTAGCTGAAGTTTCGTTTCATGGCCACATTGTGTGGTTGATGCGCTCTCTACATCCTCCTCTGCAAATCGACGATACTTGCTTTGGTCTAGCAGGCGCTTGCACTTCTCTATGGGAACCCAGGCGTGTGTCTCAGGACAGGCAAGGTAGGAGGGTGAAAACTGAGCCTTGTAGTGCATCTTGGGGCAGGAGTGGATGTAGTAGCCTAAATAGTATTGTGTGAAGTCGGCAAGGGCGGGTACGACCGCTCCGTAGGTTCGTTGAAGGTGTCGAACAAATGCAATCTCTCTGCAAAAGAAACCCCACAGGTATTTATAAAACAACCAGTTTGCTTCTAGAACGAACTACTTTGTGGTCGACCTAAACTAACCGAAGAGCCGAGTAGGTGCCCAAACTGAGGAATGCGTATTCAGGATCGTAGAAGAAGTAAACGGAGGAAAGACAACCCGGAACCAAGTCCACCACACTAACGGCAATCAACTTCTTTCCATCCAGCCAGTACTGTTGGTGATAGGAACCGAATTGTGGAGCGCCAGCGACTTCCGCTGCGGCATCGTGTGCATTCTACAGTTAAATGGAATTACAGGATTGCCAGTACGAATTCGATTGATACGTTACAGTGGCAACTCATTGAAATGGACTTACCACGAGATTGGAATCAACTAAAAATTCCTCGAATGCCTCAGGACTTATGCTTGCCGGTGCCGCATGATGAACACCGACCTGGTAGTTGTAGTACAGTTTGTATTCCTCATCCAAAGTCTCACTGAGTTCTGAGGACCGAGGTGAGCATTTGCACAACCGGATCTATTCAAGATGGCATAGCCGGGCTTAATATTAGCACGCACCCTGACAGTACACGACACACAACCAAAAGAATAAGTTCGCTTACGTCTAAAGTGTGTACGGCATTTCCTTTTGCCTTTTCCTGTTCCAGGTATTCCTCAATTTCCTTTGCCTGGTTCTTTTCAGAACGATTCTTCCGACTCTGAGAGTCAGCTTTCAAGATTTCTTCGTAAGGAACACCAGTTTTCTCGGCCCGTTGAGCCATACGTTCCTGTTTAGCCTGCCATCGATTTCGTTTTGAGGATCCCGATCGTCCATTTGTTAAAACTTGGCTTGCATTCTCATATATGCCCGAATCTTTTGATGTATTTCTCTCAGCTGGCTTTTGAATATTGACACAGGCACTGGTTTCGACGTCAAAGCCTTCTCTAACAGGTGAAGAGTCGGTGGCATCATTTTTATCGAAGAGGCTATCTACACTGCTGACGGAATCGATGCAGACATCTCGTGATTTCCCAGCAGCATTCGGAGATTTACCTTTCTGCAAAAAGTTTGCCACAATATTTAACACCCTCTTCTGTGACTTCGAGATCCTAAAATGCTCCGTGTCACACCTGATTGGGTAGGCTGGACAACACGTCTTCCTATTCATCGTCTTGTAAACGTGATTTCCGTGTCTAAATTATAAATGAAAAAGGGGTGATGCTAGGTGCTTACCGACGCCATCCCTGATCCATGAGGAGTCTGTAGTCGGCCACGTTAAGACTACTGGATGATATGTCTATGCGTGATGAAGGTAATACGAGTAAAATCGACTTACGCCATGCTGCTTTTGGTGAGGTAGTATCGTCGCAGTATCGGCAGGAATCACTTAATTTCTCTCCTTCAAGTTCGATGAGTGAAAAAGTGGGATCTGAATGCTGTTTCATGCCGATACAGGTGAAAGCCGCGAAAGTAGAATGCGGTGTTTCGCCAATTTTCTTCAACTTTTATATTCCCAATGAGCGTGAAGCCGACCAATCAGCGACGAGAGACCTTGAATTTGGAAAGCGTGTTCGACGTTAACCTGCGCCAATCATATCGTAATCTCACTTCATCTAAAATACAATTTAAATTACCAATTAGTATCGTATTGTACAAAAGAATCCAGTAATGGTAAAAAAGCAATTTACCAATTTAAATAGTAAAAGGCAAACAAGGAACCACTTGATTGTGAGCATAGGGACAAAGGAAACATTAGGGAATAAAGAGCTGGAAGGTAACTAGGGCAGACTCAATAAGTAAAATACATTGACTCCTCAAAGAGACACCAAACCGCATTTTCGAAAATGCATAACTTGCAGATTTTAAGTTAAAGTTTTAAGGAACATCCTAAATGTAATTTGACACAAATAAATGTGCATGCATGCACTGCCTTATTTGTTTCCATAACCCATTTTGTAGACCTTTATTATTAATTAAAAGATTTTTTTTAATAATATCTACCAGCTTCTTGTTTATCTCGTCTACTTACTCAACCTTTCCACGTTTAAACTACATTTGCTAGAATGCTCATACATCAACACGTGAATTGGTAGAGGCGCCTGGCCATCGTAATGACCATCGTGATGGAAGCGAATAAAGTCCCTCCGCGAGCTGTTGCGCCTCCCTCCTAACATTCGTAACCGCTTCAATGATCCTTTGGGAGTCGACGGTCTTGGCCTGACAATTTTCAGCTTTTCTAACGTGACGGTTGTTAGCTGTAATGAACCAGGATGCATTAGCAGCAATCTAAGCATCAAGATGACCCTAAACCTAGCCCTAACTCATTCAAAAACCAAATTCAAGCTTTGCTAAATTATACAGTTTATACCCATCAAGCCTCATTTTGCATCAGTAAGTGTTGTGGACTTTTGCAAACGCTGACAACATGCCTATTGCGATTCTCTAGAGGTCCCTCCTTTATGGTTGCTTGAATGCATTCTAGAAGGTCTCAAATCTCACGCTCTTATTCATCTCCACCGAGCGGCCTACGCTACTCATAGACCGACTTTAAATACCAATATCAGTAAATATGATCAGCTTCCATTCACGGGCCGGTGGGCTTGCCATTGTGAACAACAGTAGCACCTCCACAATTTCAGTACAAGTAGTCTGTATGTTGTAATGCATTTGCAGACCTCCTGAAAGCAAAATTTTCTGGGTCTGCGTGCAGTTTCCTTCAAGATGTAGACAAAAATTGCCATTTCCTAGCTGTGGTATTAACAGCATCAATTAATCTCGAGGGTGTAACAGCAGCGGCGCATGCCAGTTTGGCAATAGAAGCGGTTGTGGTGATATGTTACCTGGGAAAGAAATAACGTGAAGTCTTTAGTAGAACTCCTTGCAACCAGAAAGAACCAACACTCAGGTATTTTTCCATTTCTTTATTTACTCTTTCATTAAAATATTATCATTTTCCTCAAAAATGTGTGTGAGTAAAATCGCCCCCTTGCTATTTTAACCGACAGATGAACCAATGAAACGCCGCCTTATTTGGCAATACTTGTCGGGAGTATGCAAACGCAGAATGACGAAATGGGAAGTAATGCAGAATGCCCTTTTGTCTGCCGTGTGGCAGTAATTATCTTGAAGTTTATGTGCCAACTTATGCATCTGAATGCGGTAGTTATACCAAACCACGATAACCAGATAAACTCGCTATACTAGGTGCATCTCGGGTGCTATGTCAAGGTTGGTGGACTCTAACTCAGTGTCAACTAAACGCACAATCAATTAAAATTTTTCCTGTAAAATATGAGATAATGAAAATTGTGCATCTGCTTTATTGTCCTAGCAGTTTCTGCTTAGTTACACTTTTGACTAAAAATACAGAAAACCAGTTCGTCGAAGTCCTTGCATATATACATATTAACTTAATAATCAGTCAATCATTCAGCCTCCAAGTCAAACCCATCAACTCACTCATTTATCAGTAAAATGACAACATTACCATGCTCCCTCAGCTACTCATTTATTCATCTTTTTGGTCGTGCCCCCATTCAACTGGTCGGTAAACCGAACGCTGCATAGACAATCGGGTAAATCAAATTTTTACTCATTCGCGGGATTTTTGCACCTCCTTTTCAACTCTGACTGGCAATTTTGGTTCTTCGATGCATGATACATGCACTGCAAACCCCCTTTTAACAGAGACACTTTTTTGCTAGTTTTTTTGAATTTTTAAGCCCATTTCACCGTTAAAAATATCCTCAAGTTAATTTTCTCTACCGGCAAGTACCAAAAAAGATTCGTCATTTCTAATGCACAAGATCCGATCACGCATTCGGGCTTGATTTATTCGAAATGCTTTAATTTTATTAATGCTTTTATGAGGTGTCATGGTATCTCTTTTAGGCACGTTATCGACTTAAAAGCGCAGTTGTACCAGTCAAAATCAAGTGTGTTGGCTGAATTCCTAGTGGCGCTGAAGGGTCTCACAAAGTTAGGCAGCTCGTTATGATTAATTATCAGGATTTTTGGAGGAAAAACTTTGGCATGAGACCAATCTTACTGGACACATTCCAAGGTTTTGAAATCGTGTGCTCCCCTCAATGCAGCTCCTCTTCGAGCATTCACGTTTTCCTTTGCATTTTGTATTCAAGCATTGAGGTATCGATGGCTTCAGAATTTGCAATATTTCATCAAAAATTTGTGACAGATACTTGAGGAGCATTGGAGTTCTTCCTCAAATTTGCTAGCTTCCGTTGCCCGTTGCCTTGTCACGCTGGAATCATGGTGGTGATGACAACTGCACCGGTTACTAATGACAGTCCTTAAACTTACACCAGCAGAACCAACTCCGTTCTACAGTACGCCAGGTTCTACTGTCAATTTTAGTACTCTCATAACTGCTTTTAACACTTGTCAAAGAACAAGAGACTCATGATCTGCAACGCAATTCCATCACCACAAAATATCTTTCAACATTAAAAAGGTCTTTTGATAGTTCGTTTAACTTGGGAGATTTTGTGCATTAAAAGAAGAAAAAGAAGGGGAACAACACAGTGTTAGGTGATTTGAAAAGGGCATCTTTTCAAGGTATTCTGGCATATTAATATACTGTAGATGGCATTCACCTACCAAAGCACCCTATGCATTATATAGCTGTGATGACTTGATGTCTCGTTAATCTATGTGTTGGTCTACGCAGACACAAATAAGGCTTTGGAGACTGTGCTCCACTCTGCTTTGCTCTACTACACTACGATTTGCGGCGTGATCTTTGAAGCGTCCTAGTAGCCCGCCATTTCATTGGTGTCCTAGTAATTCATGTTCTGCCTTACTACCTTGACTAATCACAACTTTGGGAGGACTCGATGGACATCTGCATTATGTTTATGCTATTCCTAGTTTAACATTTCCTAGGTAATTACTACCATTCAGAGCTTCCTACGCCAACCAATTCTACACCCTGTTAGACGGCGACCGTCCTATTTTACACCCATCTAAGAAAAATAGGGTTTATTGCTTCTCATCCTCACAACTTTATCAAATTTTCTTCAGCAAATAGATCTTCTGTTAAAAACTGCATTGCAACTGAGATTAACACGGCATGCGTGCCCCTACTGCACTTTGAAGGCCACCATTAACCCTCAACAGCCAAACTTAAGACCCAGTAATCTGTCATTTCGATTGATACTTGCCACAACTACGAGGACAAGGATGATCTAGATACGTTGGTTAGCGCAGCTATAAGTTATGACGCATAAGGCGTGAGCAGATTTTTCCAGAGCTGATATTCTCCTGCGTCCCCTAAGTCTTTTACCATACTTCACCTCTTAGTGCCAAACAGTGCAGTGACGTATTGAACGTGCTTTTCCTCATGCGCAAGTGCGTTTGTCATGCAGACTCCATCCCACAAAACGCGGCTACTTACTTGATTGTAGAAGACTATGCCGCTTTTGCTTAACTCTGTAGACAACGCTCCAATCATTCACAGTCCACCACAGTCCTCTTAATGAGATAGGAATTTGGATGTGCAAGAGATATGCGCTTGCTGGTAAGCCTAAATTGGCATAGATGCGGTAATAATGTCCGTAACATTAGCAAGCCTGTCTATCTGGTGTCCTAGAAATTGCTCGACTGCTACCTCAAAGTAGATGGAGACAAAAGAGATAATTTATTATTCCCTGCTGACCAATTGCTGCAAAGGAAGATGGACAGTCGCGTGTTCTACTTGCAGATAGTGTTTTCATAATCAATAGGAATGGCGATGATTATAATTGCCATCTTAGGTAGAATAGACGAATTTGTACAACGACCAGATCAAAAACGCGCCACTGATGTCAAATTTGCGAAGTAAATGCTCTACTGTAGCAAGCAATTGTCTTTTTCTCGCCTGTGGAGGTTACGACAGAAGACATAATGCTGATAGAATGCCAAGTGTATTAATGAATAACCTGCCTGAAATTTATTTCCTCTTTTAAGTTGGCATTGACGCAGTCTATCGAGTTGCCGTGATTTTAGGACTGATTACACTGTCTACCAAGCCCAGGGCTAGACATGAAAGCGGAGCTGTTCACATTCCTAACAGTGGTGAGCAAGTCGTCAGTTTTTATAGCAAAATGAGCTAATCAGCTTCAAATTTACTTACTGCTGAAATGCTCCCTAGTAGTAAGCTGGACAGTAAGGATAACCGAATGTAGTGCATTATCACTTCAGTACTACATCCAGAGGGGTCTATTTTGGTAGAAGTGTTTGTTGCTGGAGGCGGTAATGACAGTGGCAAGGATCTCACGTCTTCCCCTGGTCATTGGACCCCAACATTCAAGCGTTCTATAATAGATTCTAACTCATTTTCAGCAGATGTTTCTAGTAGTCGCCTCTTCATCGCAGGTGATCTTGTTCGCATTTTTATCTTGCCTAACTTCTGCAGGTAGCTCTACTCCACCATAGAGTGGTAGAATAT